TCGGGTGCGCTGCAGGCTGGGCCGGCTCCTGCCTCCTTCCCCAGGAGCTGCTCGCTACCTCCGTCCCCCGGCCCCCTCAGAGCCCCTTGCTGAGGGCAGAGGAGGTGGCGGTCAGGCAAACAGAGGATGGAGGATGGCCCCATGAGCAGCCCGGCCCACTGGCCAGCAAAAGCTGGACGCGTGGTGCTGGCAGATGTGAATTTGCTTGGCATGGGCATTTTTGCTGTGGGTCTCCACGGCATGGATATTGAAGCTGCTTGCCATCAGTGTTGGGGCACCCTCACTTTGCTGCCATGTTAGTGCCTCCCACCACCATGCCCATAATCCCACGAAGCGCCAAGCGCTGCCCAGCTGCCAGCTAGCAGAGGCCACAGCGACTCCCTGCAGCTGGAGGGTGTAACCATCGGCTGGGGGCTGCAGCCTGCATGTTTCCCCAGCGGCACACAGAAGATGTGCAGATGAGATACGTGACAGGACTGCCAGGTATAGGTCCCTTGGTGCCCTGACAATCTTGCAAGAGTTGCACATGCAACACCGCTTTCCAGGCCTGTGCTATTGTGTCCCGTTGCAGGTATCTTTTTGTTACAGTGCTTCTTTCAAGAGGTAGGTGTATTCCTTCTACCCCTTCAGCAGCAAGTGTTTCCAATAGCCTCTCACGTGCTCCGTTTCTCACTCTCACCTGATCAGAGCGTATTGCCATAATCGGCACCTATAATTTCCCATGTGGGAACAACTCTTCTGTTTCATCTGCACTGTTCCAGACCCTTTGAAATAAGAAATGAGCTGCAACCTGCCCACACATCTGCATTGTTACATCCTTTTGCCATCAGCATCTCGTTGCAACCACTGCAAACGGGGCTCCATAAATTGCTCCGAGATACTAAAAATATCATTCGGTGTTCCCATGACTGCTTTTCCAAATATCTCTCAGTAGTACATCACAAGCATAACTTGGTTCCTGAGCATTCAGCGTTTGATTCACACATCACCAATGTGTTTCTGACAAGCAGCATCCCCCGCCTTTTGTAAATGCTATTTATTTTTGGAGCATGAAGTGGTGATCTTGATATTTTTCTCATCTTATTCCATGAATACTTAAGACTTCACATCTTGGCAAGCGTATTCTTGGCTGAAAAGGTCTTTTTTATTACTAAAATGCATTTCAAAGAACTGCCATCCAAAGAACAGAGAATGATGATTTTATTTCAAAATAGCCTTAGTCCTTAAGGACTAATGTAGCCATACAATATCACATTTTTGATAATGGAAATAAGTATTAAATAAATGTAGACTCTGAAGATTATATACCAGAAATTAAAACCGTCAACCACTAGATGTCATCATTTCAGAGATGAAGCAAATGGAAGAATATTTCTGACCTCAAGTAAATTATAAGTTTAGGGGTCAGAGAATGAAATGTTGAGGTACTTACTCAAGCGGAGTGCTTCTGTAGTCAATGAATTTTTGCCTGAGTAAAAGCTCTCAGTAGGGATACCATCAGTGAGCACATACTGCATGTGAGTAATTGTGAGTGAAGCATCACAAGAAATGGCTAAGCATAACATTGAGATGAAAGGATACAATAGCAATTTTTAAAAAGCAAATGGCCTTATTTTGGGGTAGACTGAAGGATAAATTATCTAATTATTACACAGATGTTCTGTTGTTATTGAAATGCAATGAGCAGCATTAAACTCTTAAAATGATATTTTCTGAATACAGCCTAATAGTATATTTATTTTGTTTCACTTCATGTATTTAACACTACCTAATGATGCTGATATTGTAAGTCATTATTGTTTGTAATTAGGATTGAGCTAATTTTTTTTTTAATAGGGTAGGTTTAGAAATATTAATAAGTTTTTAGATTTACTGAGAAAAAATGCCTAATATTGGTTAAATAGGAACATATTTTCCTGTTTGGTGATTTTAAAGACCCAGAAAATTGCCCTTGACAAATATTTGAGATTCTTTAGTGTAAGAACATGCCCAGTGTTGACAGAGACCATAATTTCTCGTTACAGAGTCCATGAAGACTGTTGCAAACCATTTGAAGATAAAGCAGTTGTAGCATTGTGTAAATGTATGTTGATTTGTCTCCTATGGGATGGAAGAGGGAGCAGTAGAAAGGAGGTTTAATACCACTTTTGTTTCCTTGTTTTGGTTTTGCAGTGGGTACTGCTTAAGTAAGACAGAAGATTGGGTACGTTATTGTTTCAGGATTCTGTATGCAGCTTGAAGCAGAAGTTTCCCATTCTAGCTATACATTTGGTTAAAACAAATCTGTAGGAATTAAATGTGAAAATTCAGTCTCCTAGTAGACTGCCTAACTGAATTTTATGTTGATATTTAAAGGTGAAAAAAATTGATCCAAGCCTGTATGAAAAATTTAAAAGCCATTATTTTGGAGATGAAATTCTGCACCGCCTAGATCTTTGCTCCATGCTGAAAAAAAAGCAACCCAATGGTTACTACTACTGTGAGTCCTCTGTCATTCTTGGTAAGTACATCTTCATATTCCTTTTGTATCAATTGCTTCTGTAAGTTAAATGACTGAAAAGCCGTTATTTCTGGAGTGTGTGTTAGGCAATTCTTGTAATAATACCCATAGAGTCTGACATAAGTCTGTCCTTCAGTTTTGGGGACTCCTGGCGCACTGTGTAGCACTTCTTAGTGACAGCTAAAGCTTATGCTCAATTATCCATCTCCAGCATGAAGTTCTGCTTCCCATCCTAAAATGAGTGTTTAAGATAAATGAGATGTATCACCCTCTGGAGCTGCATGTCTCCCTTGGTTTACCGAAAAGACAGCCTACGTAACTGAGTTAGATTAGGCACACTAATTATACATGATTAAAGCTAAGTGAAATGTCTCTGACCTTAGTTGGAGTATATTTGTACAGAGAGAGTATTTCAGTGATACAACAGAATATCATCAAGATTTCAAACGTTGTATAGACACCTTGCCGAGATCATTGCAGTCTTAAGTATTACAATTGTGGCCTCCTGCATCATCTGAACAGAAGCTTCAGATTTCTGTGATAAGTATTCTAGGCTTATCTTCTTATTTCTGCCATGAGTCGTGTATGCATCAATCTTCAGTTGATATCCATGAAGGTTCTGTGCACTGAGAGACTCTGGGATGATGGCTCATATAATAAACCTCTCTGTGATGGTTAATTCCCACTAGCTGATAATGGAGCTTGGGGCTGCTATTAGTCATATTAAGAACACGGAGACTTCAACATGGGTTAAAACACACTAAGTGAAGTAAATAGAGAATGCTGAGGATTTTTTTAAGATGCAAATGCCCCTTTAAACTTAGGAATTTATTGTGTGATATGCTGGAAATATCTTTAAAAAAATATCATTCCTGCACCTGGGGAACTTTAAAATTAAGAAATCAGATGACATGGGAAGATGGACAAGTAGTAATACTGCAAAAGTTTTTCATGTGCATTGCTTTTTCACCTGTCATAATTAGGTAGATTCTTTGTCATGGTAGAGGTGGATCTCAGAGGTCAGCTTTGTAACAGGGAAGAGATAATGGCCTTATGAGTTCAGTTTGTGTAGTATCTTCTTTGTACTGGTGCAGCTTGGCTTTTATGTGAAAATTTGCTGCAGTCACATCAAAGGTTGAATGTAGTGGTGCTGGAAGACATGGCATACTGACATTCATCCCCAAAGTCCGTGTGAAGACTTTATATCTGTTTTCTTTAGAAACAGAAATTTAAAAATAGAGCAAAACTCTATTTAGAAAGTTGTCAGTGAGCAATAGTTCCACCTCTACAAGAATATGGGCAGTCTTAATAAATATAACTTTGACCTACTTAAGAAAAAACATCTATTCTTGTATGACTGCTCCAACAATAGGAAAAATGTATAAAAAATCTTTTACAGGGAACCTCAGCAAAAGATGCTTACCTAAAGACTATGACAAATTTGCTCTTATATATCTTGCACGTTTTCCAGATTTCTGATAATAAGCAAAATGTTTTTTAACACAAATGTCAAAAAGTTGAGCATTCCAACAGGCAAATCGTTTAGTGGATCTATCCTTTCCGACTACAGAGCATAGTAGTCTTATTAGTGAAAATATTCATGAACGAGGAATGATCATATCCTTAGAAGGAAAGGACGAACCATGCAATGTTGGAGATATCTTCCAAGGCCATCGGTTCCATCACCTAGCTGGAGAGAAACATCTTCAGTGCACTCTCTCCTATTGTAGACGGCTTAAAGGAAAACCGTGTCTTCTTCCCTAAGGGCTAAGAAATCTCAAGAAGATGAAAACTTCTGTTTTTTGTAAAGGTTTTTTGTCCATCTCCAAATTATGCAAAACATTTAAAGGTATGATGAGCACAAAAATGGGAAATGGCTGCTTTTCAAGATCTTACCTTTTTCCTTCTTAATGCTGTGTCAAAACTAACAACGTGGTGTTAGGGTGTTCATGAACATCTACCACCACCTCTGAATTCCTGTTGTTTGGACCGGTTTTACCTATGTACTGATATTAAAAGTTAGCACTGTTGTAAATGGAAAACTGTGGACTCCTAGGACTCTTTTTAAGGGTTTGATGATGACTTCCTTTGTGCCTTGTAGTAATTTGTTTCCTATCTATGTCATCTACACCATGGGAGGTGGAGATGCTTTTGATCTTGAGGTAGTGTTTTGAGGATTTATTATTCAATATCTATACAATGCTTTGAACACATCAGGCACTTTGCAAATGCTAAATATTTTTTCTGGTTAATGTTTTTGTTGGCACTTAGGTCCACCTTTGTTTACATTATGTAGACTGTACAAAACAAATAGGAAACATTGCTTGCAGTGGAAACTAAGAAATGTGTAGGATGTCTATGTCACCCTATCTAGGTGACAATAATATTGCAGAATGCAAATCCGTCAAAATTGAAGCGAAATATATTTATACATATTTGCATGTATATGTACATGTATATCATATTTATTACCTTATGTATGTCTCAGTCTTCATGGATATCATTATGTATGTATCTCTGGTTGTGTATACTCCATATATAGATAAAAGAAGGAAATGTATGTTTTCTATGTAATATCTTATGCACATGCTTGTACATTCAAATATGTATTTATAAACATCTAAATGTTTAGAGAAAAAGAATTTACATGATTATTTAACATAGTGTAAAATTTTTCATTGGGGTAAAGTTGAGGCTCCACTATTTACAAATATATTTCAAAATATTTAAGATTATTTATCTCTGATTAAGTAATTTGGTAAACAGCTCATTCCAAATTAAAGCTATTAGCAGTATATTTGGTAGACATTGACAATGTTTTTTCTAAACATTTCTAAACATTTGTTTAAAACTCTGTTCTTGTTGAACCTGCCTTATTATTCCAAATGCTGAAATGTGACAGTCAGTCTTTGAGCTATCTTTTGAAGATGAGGCCCATTAAATGGTTTATAACAGCAGTCAGTCAACTGGTATGCATAGCAAGAGTCAGATGCTTGTTTGGCTTTAACTCAGTCATGGTGTGACAATGCCTACATTTATGGAAAGTATCATTTTCATAACTTACAACAGAGTTCTGCTCTGATTTTTATGTAAGTACTCTGTCTGGTTTCTGTGGCCATAATATTTGAATAGATGTTCTTCACTGATACCACATTAAGAAAGTATGATATTATTATTCCCTGCTTTCTCAATGCTATATGAACATAGATGCAGTGTGCCAAAATATATGCATTTTATTTTTCCTGTTTTTGTACACATTAATATATTTATGTAAGGCCTGTAGGAGAGGGGAAACAGGTGTTTTGAAACAGAATTTAAATGTCTTTCTCTTCAGAGAACGAGAAACTATATTTTAATAAATTTCTAAAAACTCATTATATTTCAAAATATGATTTAAACTGGGGTTTTATTAACTATATGTTGCAAGGGTATTAAATTAACCACAGGAGGGAGCTAATGTAGTTCTATTATTACATCAGAAATAGTAAAATTTGTGAGTTACATAATACAGACAGAGCACTGTATCTAACTAGTTCTTTCTATGTATGCCTGTACTCAGAAAGTTCTCTTTTCTATCGAAAGCTTAGAGAAAATACAAAAACGCTGTTTACTTTTTGTTACCTAGAGTCTGAGCCAGACTTCAGGGGTATGCATGTAATAGGATTGAAAGATCTAAAAAGGAAATGGATCTAGTATTAAAAGAGAAACAGAAATCTGTACACAGTGAAGAGCTGCATACTAGCATTGCTATTAAAAGCTACAACACATATCAGCTTGGTTGCTAGGCATTTTAAAAACACGTTTAAAAATATAGGAGCCATAAAAGTTTGATCTGGATAAGGACAGAGGTGAAACAGGTGCTGAGCTGCAACGAAATGTGCAATAGGTAAACGGGCTTTGACACTATGTTACAGAGAAACATCCACTGTCTTCAGCAGAGCCTGCGGACATCTACACCAGTGTGTTTCTCTGCATCTGCACGCCAGCCGCACAGGGTGTGTATTCAGGAGTGAAAATTTGATGAGATGGTGACAATGGGGTTGAGCCTTCATCCCCCGTTAGAGATCAGGTTGTTCTTTAAAACAAGCCAAACAGCAGGCCAACAAAGTGTCCTTCTTCACACAACCCACCTAATGGCAGCTAGTGTATGTCACCTGAAATACGAAAGAAGAACAGGGAACCCTGTAATGACTTGAGCTTCTCAATACATATTCCTTTACCTGAATGTCAGATCAATTCTTTATATCACAGTGAAGACATTCAATAGGAAAACTGCCCATCAAAGGAAGCATTATGTCTATTTTCTTGTGTTAGGTATGCCTTTAGCATTAAGTATCCCACTTAAATATCCTCAGGATCCATGCATTAAAATTTTTGTAGAGTTCTATTTTAAAGAAAACGTGCTTACAATAATGTAATGTATTCTGAATTATACACACGTGAAAGAAAATTATCACATGCCAAGCGGCATTCAGCCTTAAACTGTGAGAAGGTTTTCCTGTTTGACTCGTAAGGAGAAAGTTATATATCAGGTTTCTTATGTGCTACCTCTGAGGTGGAAAAACTTCCACAAAAGTCAATTCCTTGGTGGAAACCACCCAGCAGCCAACTCTTGCTTGCTGCACAGCCAAAGCTGATGTATCTGGAATACGTGTCATGCTGGAGGTTGAAGTGCTATTATATTTCCCCTTAACCCCTGCAGTCTAGCAGTAGAAATCTTGAAATATCAGACTGCAAGCATCTAGTTTATCTGGAAAAGAAAGCATAAGAATATGGTTAAAGATAATGCTCCTTGCTACTCAAACAATTCTTCAAACAGATCCCTTTTTAAGTAACAGAACATTTGGTGAGTCAGTTTACATTTCAGTTGAACTATGTACAAGTTAGGTGTTTAGTCCGACCTTGCCATCTAGGCACCTTCCAAAGTCTCTCTGAAATGGGGGAGAAAGACACCTACAGATGGATGAATTCATTCCATCCTAAAATGTTTGCCTAAGGTA